GTTTTGGTTATAGGTTCAGAGGCCTCCATATCCCATTTTTTGCTGGTTCTAATGGCTCGCTCAGGGGTGGAAACATGCCTGCGACAGGCTCATTGTGGTTGTGGGGGCTGGAAGAATAACAAGATATCAGTTTGCAAGGTGTGTGTTTAGAAGATAATATTCAATTCCTATGCAGCCAAGGTCCTAGATTTGTCTTCCTTATGATGCTCAGGGTGGCAGCACTGAGACACGCCCTTATGGAGCTTATACCCGAGCCTCAAGGCTTATCTTTCAAAGATAAAGGGTGACATTGGTAGCCAGGGCACAGGCTGGAAAGGTGATGTCACTGGGGTTGAAGCGGTCCGCAAGGGCATTCCAGGTCAAGGGGACAGCAGAGGACAAGTGCCAAGAGTAAATGAATGATGACCACGGGCCCAGCTACCTCCTAGACCTAGTCCATGGGCTGCCTGGTGGGGAGGACTGGGGCTGGAAATCAGTCACCATCACAACACAGAAAGCTACAGGATGTGTACAACCCTGGGATGGCACTTCCTGTTTATTGGAGATTGGATGGGAAAGTAAATGAAGACTAAAGGTTAAGAATAAAAGGACCTTTCACTTGTGTTAGGCCTCATATCACACAATTCTAATACAATATTAATAAATTCAATGATTTTATAGCTTTACCATTTGAAATTTATTTGTTTCTGCAACGATACAAAATTACATCAAGTGGCATTCACAGAAGCTCAGTACAACATTAGATACTGAAAAATACTTATCATTAGACCAAATAAGCTTTAAAAATAATTATAGTTAAGTTACAAAAGCTGAAAATATAAAACACTGCAAAACAGTGGCAATCTCCTAAGTAGATAAACAAAGAAGGGAAACAACATCAACCATTTAACACGACAGATTTTGGAATTCAAGGAATATCTATCATATACATATCAGTGTGAGGAGGCTGGCTTTGATGGCAGCTTAAAACTACACAGTTCAGACTCAACCTTTTAACAGAAGAGTTTGGGATAGTTAGGAAATTTACATGTGGCTTGTGGAACTAGCTAAGTTGAGATTCAGTCTTGGCTCTGGATATACACTTAAAACTGAAAATCTCTTCCCAGGATCCTTAAGCCAGGCCACGCCAAACACAACCTTCCCAGCAAGTTTTCAGAAAACAGCTGACAGAACTAGAAGGATTGACATATAGCACACTCTTCCCAGTTCATATGATTCAGCATGTTCAAGCATGCTAGCTTTCATCACACACGAGGCACTGGGTATCGAGTTACCCTGTAGAAACAAAGGACAGGCTTCCATTTTTTAATTTAAATGACATGAATTGGAGAACAAAACGAGAATCACCACGGGTAATTTTAGAGGTTTAGAATTCTATTGCCAAATATTTCTTTAAAAGCCATCATGGGAAGCCCAGCTGGCATGGCTCAATTGTTGAGCGTGGACCTATGAACCAGGAGGTCATGGTTTGATTGCCAGTCAGGGCACATGCTTGGGTTGCAGGCTCAATCCCCAGTACAGGGCCTGCAGGAGGCAGCCGATCAATGATTCTCTCTCATAATTGATGTTTCTCTCTCTCCTCCCTTCCTCTCTGAAATCAATAAAAAAAAATACATATTTTAAAAAGCCATCATGGGAAAAGAAATGTCAAAGTATATATAACTAATTGTCAGGTCGTTCCAAGTTGTCTTAGCCTTTTGAGATAAGACTGGCCTTCCATTGCCCTGGCTGGGTAACTCGGTTGGTTGGAGCATTGTCTCCACACACTGAGGTTGCCGGTTCGATCCCCAGTCAGGGGACATACAAGAATCAACCAATGGAGGGATAAATCAGTGGAACAACAAATTGATGTTCTTACAATCTCTCTCCTTTCCTCTCTCTCAAAAATAATTTAAAGACTGGCCTTTCACTCCCTCAGATTCCAGAAATGGACTCTTTAAATATTCTACTCAGTAATCTATCAGGAAAACGAGTTCCTCTATTACATCCACGAGTGAAGCATAGATGCCTCCAAATAGAAATCACCCTTCAACCAAAGGCTGGGGCAGGAAAGGAAGCACACAGCTGCCTGGAGGGGTGCCTCTTGGCTCCCTGTACCTCATTGCCTGACCCCACCCGGCTTGAGAGATGCCTCAGCCAGCTCGCCCTCATCCACAGAATCTCTAAGAAAACATGCTTCAAGTAATCTCAAAAAGACAACTGCCCAGATAACAAGTTTTCCTTTGGTGTGAGAGATTTCCTTCAGTGCAACTTCTAAAGTGAAACTTAAATTCTATACTCTCACCGCAAGAAATGGTATTTCTCAGACTCAAAAAGTGGAACTGTGTGGAATCCACAATACTACCCACCTTTCTTTCTGCCCTCCTCTTTATGGGACAGCAACCAAAAAAGCTGTGTGAGGCCTCAGTTAAGTCGCAGCCAGATGTCCTGAACAAAGAAAACTTTTGCAAGAACTCCTGAAGTACTGAGGAATGTCACTCTGCTAGGCAGATGAAACTGTAGTTTGGTTTTCTTGGGGAGACCAGAGACATCAGATACTGACTGCCCTGCTTTGCTAAAGTTCCAAAATCTGTGATTGCCATTATTAAGAGCTACTAAAGTAGAAGAGGAAGAGTCCAACCCAGGTTGGGGAAGTTAGGAAGGTACACAGAAAAACCTGAGCTGGGCCCTGAGGAAACAAATTTTGGGGAAGGGAAAGAGGAGAGCAACTATGGGAAGCCAGGGAATGGAGGACACCGCAAGAACAAAAAAGCACAGAGGCCAGTAGGGCACCCAACAATAGGGGCTTTTGGCCTGGCTAGACTAGAGAAAGACAGGCAGGGCAGTGGCCATCTGCAAAGTCCTGAATACAAAAGAGCCTATAAACTTGCCTCTAAGCCAGGAGGGACACAGACGGAAGCTTCAGATCAGGGCAAGTGTTTTAGAAAGGTCAATCTGGTCTCTATGCACACAAGAGAAGATGGACAGGAAAACCAATAAAGGTGGCTCCTGAAAAAGAGATCCGGGAGAGAGGTGGAATGGGTGTGGGACAGGGAAGCAAGGAAAATGGAAAGATTGCAGCTGGAGACTTTTTTTTTTAAGAAAGCATAGGACTTTTGTGACAAGAGATAAAAATGGTATAAGTTTATAGTTTGGAGTTGAGAGGATTAAAGAAATTGGGCAGTTGAAAGGGACAGTGTAATCGGTAGAATAAATTCAGTTTTAGAATTTTTAGGACAACCATGCTGAAAAGAGCACACAACAGGACTGTTTCTTTGGGAACTATGCCAAGGATAAAGACCTGGGAATGAAGAATGAATGAATTTCTGAGGAGACAAAGGAGTTTTTTGTTTGTTAAAAATTTGTTGTTGTTAATCCTCACCTGAGGATATTTTTCCATTGGTTTTTAGAGAGTGGAAAGGAGGGGGAGAGACACAGAGAAACATTGATGAGACACGTTGATTGGTTGCTTCCTACCCATGACCCGACCAGGGCTAGGGATTGAGCTGGCAACTGAGCTATGTACCCTGGACCAGAACCAAACCCGAGAACCTTCAGTCCGAGGGCTGACGCTCTATCCACTGACCCAAACCGGCTAGGGTGACAAAGGATTTTTTTTTAATATATTTTTTATTGATTTTTTACAGAGAGGAAGGGAGAGAGAGAGATAGAGAGCTAGAAACATCGATGAGAGAGAAACATCGATCAGCTGCCTCCTGCACATCTCCCACTGGGGATGTGCCCGCAACCCAGGTACATGCCCTTGACCGGAATCGAACCCGGGACCCTTCAGTCCGCAGGCCGACACTCCATCCAATGAGCCAAACCGGTTTCGGCAACAAAGGAGTTTTTTTTTTTTTTTTTTTTTTGACAAAGGAGTTTTTGACATAAGGACACTTTGTCAAAGAAACCAAAAGAGGGGAATTTCTATTTGGATGGTCAACAGTGTCCAATTCTATCAAGATCAAGACTAAGTTTTGAGAACAAGCCATTGGGTTTGATGATCTGAAACTATGGAACAACACTTAGTAGAAAGACAGGGACCAAAGTGAGCTTGTAAAGGTTATGAAGAGAGTGAATGACAAAGTAATGGAAGCAACACTTACTGAAGAAGTTGAAGAGCAGACTGAATGACAAATAGGATGGATGGGGGCTGGGGGGGATTGTGTAAGCATGAAGGTTGGAGAAAAAGTGTTAGTGTAGATAGGCTGAAATAGAAAACATTAGAGGAGGGAAGGCAGGGACAGGGGAGACAGAAAAGGGAGTATAATAACCAAGGTCTTAGGGAATGCTAGGGGAGCCTGATAGAAGATGCCTCAGATTGGAGGAAAGTATTATAAGACTGGTGCACAAGTAAAGAAACGATGACAAGAAGAGCATTCATTCATTCTTGATCTCTACAAACAGGTTCCTGCAATGAATGAAAACCTCAACTGGAAGCCATGCACTGTTCTAAGCAAGGTGGATGATGATAATATGACAAACACATGGTCCCTTCTTTAGACTTACTTCTTCCATAGCACAGAATTCGTCATATTCTCCTCACTTCCCACATCTTTTGTATTTCTTGAGATCGGTTATTCTATTTCAGTTTTTCCTTTGCAGAAACAACTCTTCAGGCTCTCTATAATAGGATAACATGACTAGAGCTACATAAAACTTCAGTGTGACCTAAGACACTACTCTCAGTTACCCCAGGGGAACTCTGTGAATTTCTTAAATTTTAATAACCCTTCCCATGGGATAGAAGTTTTACTAACTACCCTTACTTAGCATTTTATATTAGATGAGAGGACCATTAATTAGGTTAAGGTAAAAGAAAGAGCCTGATTAGTTGCTAAATATGTCTGTTTTGTCTGTTTTAGGCAACAGAGGCAAAATAGAGTTTGTGGGGAACCTATTTCATAAAAGGTCTTTGAAAAAAACGCAAACCCAAACCAGAACCCTCCTATTTGTTTTCTTGCACATGAACTTACTCTATTTCAAAAAGTTCCTGTTACGGTTATAAGAAAAAACAGTGCTTCAATAATCACAACTTTATTTCTAAAAATCTGCAATGGGAACAGTGGCTTTACAGCTCTACTCCCAGAAGCCCCAAGTTCAGTTTTATACTCAGTACAACCAAATGGAAGCTGACTCACTTTGTCTTACATAATATGAAAATGTGCTAGATGGGTTGAACCTGCAGGCAGTAAAGCATTTTTTTAAGCTATTGCTTTGGTTTACTGCTGAAGCATTTGAAAAGAATTATGTGTTCAATGTAGCTTTTTGCCCATCAGCATTCACCTTGTAGATCTCTTGTAGGGCACAGCCCCCAAAGTAAGAGGCCCTGGTGGAAAGTACCTCAAGCAGCTGAGTTTTCTCCTAGGTCTGCAAAAATAAATAGTGGCGAGTGCAATGCTACTTTCTAGGGGTGATTTCACGATAGAGCCGAGGCCCAAGGCGCCCAGGGCGGTCAGCAGCACTAGCCTGCCAGGGGCTGGGATCTCCATTTGGTCAAAACTGGGTTCCCACCTGCTCGCTCCTTCTACTCATACTAAGAGGGGGAAAGGATGGAAGACACCAGCGTAAATAATGGGAACAAAGGAGCACAGGGTCACTAAAGTGCCGGTGCAAAAACCAAAGCCGTGCTCCCCACCCCCCCATGTCTGCCAGCCCGGACTTGCCACCAAACCCTAGAGGGTATGTCTTAGTTCACAGTACTTTTATCTTCATTTATCTTGATTTAGAAACAAATCAGCAGGGAGGACGAGGTTCTCAAAAACAGAAAGATCAAATCTGAAACGAGAGTAACACAATGCATTGGTGATGTTCACCTTCTTCCAGAGGAATATAACTTACTGCTATGATTTTGGGGGTAAAAAAGATCTTAAGAGTTGCAGCTCAAAGAAAAAAAAATCCAGAATTAAGACAAACTGACCCTCCACCATACAAACAGTAACTGATAAAATAAAAGCATGCAAAATTATTTAAAAATTCACTTTGGCCGAAACTGGTTTGGCTCAGTGGATAGAGCGTTGGCTTGCGGACTGAAAGATCCCAGGTTCGATTCCGGTCAAGGGCATGTACCTGGGTTGCGGGCACATCCCCAGTAGGAGATGTGCAGGAGGCAGCTAATCGATGTTTCTCTCTCATCAATGTTTCTAACTCTCTATCTCTCTCCCTTCCTCTCTGTAAAAAATCAATAAAATATATAAAAAAAAGAAAAAGAAAAAAGAAGGAAATCTTACCTTTAAAAAAAAAAATTCAATTTGAAATAAAACATACACTAGATGCCCAGCCAGCATGGCTCAGGTGGTTGAGCGTTGACCTATGAACCAGGAGGTCACAGTTCGATTCCCAGCCAGGGCACATGCCTGGGCTGTGGGCTCCATCCCCAGCGGGGGCGTGCAGGAGGCAGCTGATCAATGATTCTCTCTCATTATTGATGTTTCTATCTCTCTCTCCCTCTCCCTTCCTCTCTGAAATTAATAAAAATATATTTTAAAAAAACACACGTAAAAAAAACCCATACACTAGAGAGATCCACACTTAGTGGAGGGAATATGGGAAGCTTAGCTTCTGCTTTGTAGCATTCTGTATTCTGAATTGTTTACATGTGCATTTTTTTTTAAATCAGAAAAAGATTATAATGAACAGGAATGACAATCCTTAAAGTCAATTATCTGGAAAGGTACTTGGCCAGGGTTATACTGTGAAGCTGATCTACTGGGCCAGGCAGCAAGATGTTTTGAGCTGAGTGGCCTATTCTGTAGCTGGTATGAGCTGTACACATGAACTGTGTTCCCTGTAGGAGTCTGGGAACAACTCCCAGTTGGGCCGCCAGCAACTCTTCACCCTGCCCTTGCTGAGCTGCAGACGGGTGCATGCTGGCAGCAAGGCTGTGGGAGTACACTGAGCTCAGACAGGCTGCCTTTGGGGAGAACCTTACTCGGCTCCTGCTGCTGTGGGTGGAAGGAGGGCTTTGCTTTCTGGCAGAGGCATGGGTTGGCTGCATTCAGGAAATCTAGTCAACAATGCTTAGCAGGGCTGATCTGGGAAGTTGGAGGCCTATGTTTCTGAACTCGTTTATTTCTAGGGAGTGTAGTCTAGAGTTTTGCTCCCTAACATGTGGTCCCAGCAGCTTTGGCGTCACCTAGGAACCTCCTAGAAATGTAGAAGCACAGGCTCCACCCCACAGCTAGTGAATCAGATTTTGCTTTCTATCACAATGCCTATGAAAATTTGTGAAGTGCTGGTGAAGCACAAAAAGCATAGGATGGAAGCCTAGCGCATTCCCATCAGGTCTTGATTTTGCCACGAACTTGAGGTGGGAATTTAAGTGGGGGGTAAATCATGACTTCTGGGCCTGAGTTTACTCATCTGTCAAGGGAGGGAGCTGTTGTAACATACTTAAAGCTCTCTTCAGCTCTAACACTAGACATGTATACATGATGTCTCTACTTAGTGATCTGAAAAGGGCAGGGGTAATGGTGGCAGCACCCCAGAACCAGCTGCTGCATCTGAGCCAAATGCCAGCCCACTGCTGTGCCCAGCTGAGACTGCATAGCCCTCCCATGGACCTGGGTTTTCCTTCCTTACCTTCTGGTCCAAAAGCTGGTAGTCACTGGCCTTAGGCCGCCGAGTAAGTTTGGATTTTTTTCCTTCCAGGGCAAAAGCAATAATCTGGGGAAAGGAAAAAAAAAAAGATTAACAAAACTGAATCTATAATGACATATTTCAGTTTTTGAAATTAGAGGTAATCACCTGGTAGTACATTTGTTAATAACCTGACAGTAAAAAGAGCAGTACACCCACAAAGAGGCCTATCTATATATATAAAACCCTAATATGCAAACAGACCAAACGGTGGAAAACCGAATAACCAAACAACCGGTCACTATGACATGCGCTGACTACCAGGGGGCACGCACGGGACATGGCGGGCGTTGGCAGCAGGTGGCAGAGCGTGGAACATGGCGGGCATTAGCCGCAGCGGGATGGTGGAGCAGGTGAGCGGGGGTGCCAGACCAAGGCGGGACACCGGTCACTGTCATCAGAGCAAGCCTCTGGTGGTTACTGAAAATTCTTTGCTCCCGTGTACTATGGTCCCACCCGGCACTCGCACCTGCTGCCAGCACTGGCCTGGCTCACACCTGCAGCTGGCGCTGGAGCCACCACTAGCACCCACTGCCAGCACCCAGCGCCAGCCCCAATCGCTCAGGAGCAGGGGGAGGTGGAGAAGCCCTCAGAACGATCAGGGCCAGCAGCTGCTGCTCACACCCGCTGCTGGTGCCGGCCCCAATCTCTCTGCGCCATCAGCAGGTGTGAGTGGGGCTAGCGCCATCAGAGCATGGGTCGGTGGTGGCAGCTGCCCGCAGACAGGGGATGGGGAGGGGGGGCCGTGGCGGGAGAGACCGGGAGGGGGCGTGGAGAATGGGCCGAGACCCGCCCCTGTGCCCACTGCAGCCTCACGGCCCACAGTTCCTTTCAAGGTGCATGAATTCGTGCACTGGTTTAAATTATAACAATTTTAAGAACAGGGCTTAGTTCCATTACAATCCTGTGTACTGCTAAATCAGCAATGACAGAGGGAGGAAAGCTGTTCTGGGCTCTAGTTTGTGGCAGTCTGCTAATTTACTCAAGAATACTCAAAGATCTGACAACTCCTCCCTGGAGAGCTGTAGGCTAAGACATTTCTTTTCTTTCCTTTTTTTTTTTTTTTTTTTTAAAGAAAACAAACAAATCATAATTATTTTTTTTCTGCAAATGCACTCTTTCACTCCACACTTTGCCTCATCTTAACTTTACACTCATTTCATGCCTAAGGTTACTCTCCATGATGTTGAATGTAGAATAAGAATGCACCATTTTAACTAAATGAGTCCATTTCTTATAGCCACAGGCCTTATGGCCATCATGAATTGAACTCTCCAATTTTGACCAGGCTACAGAAACTACTAAATTCTTAGAGTTCAATAAGAAATGTAATTATTTTGTCACTGGAGTGATTACTAAGTGACACAGATACTACTTCACACCAAACCTTGCTAAAGAAATAAAAGATGAGTATACCTATGCAATTTCTGTTCTTTCTTCTAATCAGAAATTCAACTGACTACAAAGATAATCCCTGGGCTCCCTGCTGTTGATGTCAAAGATTATGTAACCATTCTTTCTGCCATTGTAGGGGGAAGACAAAAACTTAGCAAAGGAAGCTAGAAATGATGCACTGAAAGTGGAAACAGGAAGATAAGTGCTCTAACTACTTACAAACTGTCAGGTACTCAGGTCCTCTGAGGTTGTGAAGGATCTAAGTGCAAGATTACAGGAGACCCCAAAGCAGGTCAGATCGTAATAACATCCTAACTTGGCACCTAATACAGCAGCAGAGAGCACTCAGAGGAAACAGTCATGAAAACAAATGATTTATAAAACAAGAGTAGAGCCCTAGCAGGTTCTGGAAAAAAACACCTGACATGTCATAAAATACCCAGTGCTCACAGGCAGGTAAGTGATGAGTACTGGCCCATACACCAAGCTTTCAGGGTGAAAGACATCCCATTCCTCCTCTTAAGCTAACTGTTGACTTACCTTCCGCTTGTTGTGATAGGCAATATAGAGAACAGCAACAAGAATGGCTGCAGTCACCAGATATGCAAAGAAGTGACTGCTCTCCGCACTTCCAAGATTGTCCTTATAAAGGTCATCCTTCTTCCTATTTATGGAATCCAAAAGTGTCCCTTCAAGGTTCTCTCCAGAGGCAGGGCCAGGCATTTCCTTCTCTTCTTTGGGTGCAGAGCCCCCTTCAGGTTCAGAACTGTCTTCCGTGGACACATGCTCCTTGTCTGACTTGCCAGGACTGTTTTCCGTGGACTGGTGGCCCTTATCCGACTTGTCAGGACTGTTTTCCGTGGACTGGTGCTCCTTAACCAAGTTGCCAGGACTTTTTCCCGTGGACTCGTGCTCCTTAACCAAGTTGCCAGGACTTTTTCCCGTGGACTCGTGCTCCTTAACCAACCTGTCAGGACTGTTTTCCGTGGACTGGTGCTTCTTATCTGACTTGCCAGGACTGTCTTCTGTGGACTGGTGCTCCTTACTCAACTTGCCAGGACTGTTCCCCATGGACTTGTGGTCCTCACTTGACTGGTCAGGACTGTTTCCTGTGGACTTGTGGTCCTCACTTGACTGGCCAGGACTGTTTCCCGTGGACTTGTGGTCCTCACTTGACTGGCCAGGACTGTTTCCCGTGGACTTGTGGTCCTCACCTGACTTGTCAGGACTGTTTCCTGTGGACTTGTGGTCCTCACTTGACTTGCCAGGACTGTTTCCCGTGGACTTGTGGTCCTCACTTGACTTGTCAGGACTGTTCCCCGTGGACTTGTGGTCCTCACCTGACTTGCCAGGACTGTTCCCCGTGGACTTGTGGTCCTCATTTGACTTGTCAGGACTGTTTCCCGTGGACTGGTGGCCCTCATTTGACTGGTTTGAGTTGTCTCCTGTGGAGTGTTGCTGTGAGTCTGACCCAGCAGAGCTGACAGCCATGAGCTGTGTCGTAGCCTGTGAACCATTCTGAGGCAGGAGGCTGGGGGAGAACTGGGTGGAGAGTCTTTATGTTCTTCTGAGTGGGTGACGGAGGAGTGGGTGACGGAGAAGTGGGCTCCGCAGCTTCTGAAAGAGAGAAACCAGTTGGCCCTCAAGAGAGGCAGGCCGTGGCCCGCCCGTGTGGCTCAGTGGTTGAGCGTGGACCTATGAACCAGGCGGCCAGGGGTCCATTTCCGGTCAGAGCTCATGCCCGGTTTTGGCTCGATCCCCAGCAAGGGGTGTGCAGGAGGCAGCCGATCAATGATTCTCTCTCACCATTGATGTTTCTCTCTCTCCCTCCCTTCCTCTCTGAAATCAACTAAAAAAAAAAAAAAAAAGAGGCAGGCCGAGATAAAGGATACCTCAGAGCTGGAAGAGACTGGGGCAACCGGCAAACGGTGGCGGTGATGGCGAGCGGAGGGGTGAGTCTGACATGGACAAAGCAAGCTCAGAAGGCAACGGGCCACGGTGAGGATGATGGGCCTGGCGGGCGAGAGTGGGATTTCCTTGGGGGCAGGGGTCTTACCCGCCGCTGCAACCATCAGGAGGACCAACGCAACCAGGAACCGCATCCTGCAGACTGTACTTCCGCCGTCTGCTCCTCTCGCGAGATCGCGCACGGACGCCGTACTCATAGCCCCGCCCCTTCCTGCGCGCGTCTCCCGCCGCGCCGCCGCCGAGGGGCGGGCCTGGGGGAAGGCCAGGAGGTGTGTCGCTTCCTCCCCACTGTGCAGCTTTTCTCATAGGACGGGGCGGTCCCGAAGGAGGTGCGTCCACCTTTGCCTGATGTCTTTGCTCCGTGGCACCCGCCACCCGCCGTCACTCCCCGTTTCCTTCTTTCCCTCCATGCTTCCGAGACCATGCAGGCTGAGCAGGAGCCCCTGGCCCGTGGACGGCCCCGCGGGAATGGCGCCGCCCGCCCCCTCCTCTGCTCGCCTGGGCAACGTCTCCCTTTCTCGTGGTTCATGCCCGCGGCCCACGGCCGCGCCTGCTCGGGTCTCTCCCACCCCAGCAGAGCCGCCCCGGTCCCAGCTCCAGGACACTGCCCGCAAGTCGCCAAAGGTCTTCCCTAAAGTGCCTCCTTTTCCTGACCATAAGAGCTCTTCGTGTAAACTGTAGAAAACGGAGCGATTGTGTAGAAGTAGAAAGCAAAATCTTTGCCCCACAATCCCGAGGTAATCACTGTGTTTTAGTTTGTTTTCTGTCTTGCAATGTGGGGAGCCGGCACGGCCATGGCATACTCATGCCAGCTCAGCCTGGTTCAATGACCCTGAGTGGGAGGGTGAAAGGATTGAGAAAGGACAGACAAGAGAACAAAAGCTGAGTCTCGGTAGGACGCTGCTTCTCTGACAGAGAGCGCCGGCACCCACAAGCCGTGTCTTTATTTTATAGCAGATGCCAGGAGGCAAAGTAGGGGCGTGATCAAGTTGTTTACAACATTCTCGTTGGTTTCAACCTCACTCAACTACATGCACCTGAACTGTATCACACAGGCACGTGTGGCCACGTGTTCGGACCATAGGTTCCAGCTCACAGCTATAGCTGTTGGCTATGGTTGTGCTGGGAGGGCCCTGCCCTCCAAGCTGGGACTTGCACGTGGCAACGAGATGACTGTGCCCTCTCCTCAGTCCACAGCTTGAACCTGTCCAAAACACTGTAGCCACGCTCCGTATTGCAAACATTTAACAGTTTTTGATTAGGTAATACATTCTGACTCAAAACATCAAAATGGGATTTCTGAAAAATAGCATTCGCTAGAAAACTACCCCTCCACAGGGTACCACTTACATTAATTGTTTCCATTTAGTGTGTGTTTTAAAAAAACCATAAATACAGCCCTAGCCTGTTTGGCTCAGTGGATAGAGCGTGGGCCTGCAGACAGAAGGGTCCCAGGTTCCATTTGGGTCAAGGGCATGTACCTTGGTGGGGGGTGGGGGGGGCAGTAGGGGGCGGGGAAGGGGGTGACCCCCAGTAGGGGCGTGGGGAGGCAACTGATAGGTGTTTCTCTCATCAGTATTCCAACTCTCTATCCCTCTTCCTTTCTGTAAAAAATCAATTAAAATGTATTTTAAAACACACACACATAAATACAAATGTACTTATTTCCCCCTCCTTCTTAAATGTAATTTCTTGGTCTTTTTCCTATGCATATTCATTTTCTCCCAAATTATAATCATTGGGTAAATAGTGTTGTATCCCACTGTTTATCATAACTGTTACATTTATACATTACTTGTTGCTTGAAATCATTTTATGAACATTGGCCAGGCTAGGTGCTTTGTAGACAGGCAGTGGTTTTTAAAAAAATGACAGGCCCTAACTTCATGGAACATGTAATCTAGAGGACTCACAAATATTAATCAGATACGTACACAAATGAGTGTGTGTTCAAGGAAATAAAGTACAGAAACAACTCTGTTGAGAAAGACCTTTGAGTTGAGGACCAAAGTGTGTAGGCGTTTCCAGGTGAGGTGGCGGGAGGAGGAGGGGAAGCTTTTCTGGCTGATGTACAGGGTGTGCCGCGGCCTGGAGGCTGGTGGGAAGCGGACATTTTGTGTAAATCTAAAGATGAGGATAGGATTGTCAGATAACAAAGAACAGAAAGAATGGCAGGGGAGAGTCAGGTTAAAGAGTAAATGACCTGGGAGTTGTCCAGAACATAAATCTTTATGGGACACAAAAGTGCATCAGAAAATATGCCAGTTAACTCGGACCAAAAGGGACCACAGCTGCCAGGGCAATAGCGCTCCTCTGCAGTCCGCTGAGTAAATAATTGGGTTACACTGCGTGCAGTTTTAGTTGTAATTCTGTACATGGCATAAGTATAGATTGTTGTTTAAAAACCCTTTAATAATGCTTCTCAACGTTTATCTGTTGTAAGGAAATCTCTCTTATATACACATGAGGATATATATGAGAATAAGGATCAGAGAGAAGCGAGAAATCTGTTACCGAATTACTTCAAAACCCTGACTCTGCTTTGGCAAAAGGAAGGGAATTGGTAAATGAATTTGTATCTAAAAGAAAATTCTCTCCAACTCCCCATAAATATTGGACTAATATTAAAGAATGGTGGTTTAGTAGGGGTATGTTCAGGGAAGGGAAAGGCAAATTATTAAGCCTGATCGTGTGTCCACATTACTAGGCAGGAAAGGAAAGAAGGGTCCAAATCCTACAGATTGTGAGCCATGCCCAGGTTTTATATTTAATCTTAATAGTAATGAGAAGCCATCAAAGAGGTTTAAATAGGAAAAAGATATAATCCTAGGTGGAAATGTTTTTTAAAAATTCTCACCCAAGGATATGTTTTTATTGATTTTAGAGAGACTGGAAGGGAAGGGGAGAGAGAGAAAGAGAGAAACATCTGAAACCTAAGTTATATGTCCTGACTGGGAATTAAACCTGCAACCCCTTGGTGTATGGGGTGGTGTTACAACCAACTGAGCCACCCAACCAGGGAGGGCTCCAAATTGGAAATTTTTGAAGATAAATCTGGGGTGGGGAGAGAAGAATAGATTTAGGAGTTAATGAATTAGGAGATGGTTACAGTAGTCCAAGTAGGATTAGCATAGAGACAGTGAGAATGGCGAGAAATGGTAGGACTTAAATTTAGGAGCCCATCTAATGTGGCTCAGTGGTTGAGCGTCGACCTATGAACCAGAGGTTACGGTTCCATTTCCAGTCAGGACACATGCCCAGGTTTCGGGCTTGGTTCCCAGTACGGGGCGTGCAGGAGGCAGCCAATCAATGATTCTCATCATTGATGTTTCTAATCTCTCTCGCTCCCTCTCCCTTCCTCTCTGAAATCAATAAAAATATATATTAAAAGAAAGATACATTTAGGAGTTAATAATATCAACAGGCCTTAGAAATGGATTGCATGTGGGGGGAGGGGTGATGGTGAAGAAGGTGCGGTGCAGTGATTTTCAACCTTTTTTGTAGCATGCATAAACTCATTAGTAAAATTCTGTGGCACACCAAAAAACATACCTTTTGCTGATCTGACAAAAAAATAGTTATAATTTTGATTCATTCATATCAGATGGCTATTGTTGTGTTGGCTATTTTCATTTTTTAATTTTATTATTATTTAAAAAATATTTTTATTGATTTCAGAGAGGAAGGGAGAGAGGGATAGAGAGATAGAAACGTCAATGATGAGAATGATTGATTGGCTGCCTCCTGCACGCCCCCTACTGGGGATCAAGCACGCAACTCAGGCATGCACCCTTGACCGGAATCGAACCCGGGACTCCAAGGCCAGCGCTCTATTCACTGGGCCAAACCAGCCAGGGCTCATTTTTTTTTTATTATTTGACAATCTAAGGGAAACGAGGTCAGTGTCCCTGATTAAATAGTCAGGTATTGCATGTTTTAAAAATTATCGTGGCACACCGGTTGAAAATCGCTGGTGTGCCCGGCCAGTGTTGTTCAGTGGTTGAGTGTCAACCTATGAACCAGGAGGTGGAGGTCAATTCCTGGTCGGGGCACGTACCCCAGTTGTTGTCTCGATCCCCAGTAGGGGGCGTGCAGGGGGCAGCTAATCAGTGATTCTCATCATTAATGTTTCTATCTCCCTCTCCCTTCCTCTCTGAAACCAATAAAAAATACATTAAAAAAAAGAAAATCGCTGGTGTGGAGAATCAGATTTGAGAGGGATGGGGCATAGTAAATGAATTTGCTTTTTTTTTTTTTAAATATATTTTATTGGTTTTTTACAGAGAGGAAGGGAGAAGGATAGAGAGTTAGCTGCCTCCTGCACACTCCCCACTGGGTATGTGCCCGCAACCAAGGTACATGCCCTTGACCGGAATCGAACCCGGGACCCTTGAGTCCGCAGGCCGACGCTCTATCCACTGAGCAAAACCGGTCAGGGCTGAATTTGCTTTTGGTTGTGTGTTGAGGATGCCTGTGAGAGTCAAGTGGAGATGCCAGGGAGGTAGTTGGAAATATGAGCATGGAGTTCAAAGGTAAAATATAGGAACTGTTTGCCTAACTAATTTAAATATTGTTAAAAATATTGATTGGTAA